AGTATTATATATAGTATTATTAATATTATTCAATTTTCACTTAAGATCACTTTTTACACAATTTTCGGCCAATGCCGCCCATTGTACTATGCAGTCAGCCGCAAGGCAAAAGTCAAGACGCAATGTAAAAATTTCGCGTGATTTCATTTTGCCGCTTGCAAACATTGTTACCGCTATTCGATATTGTTGTTGTTGTTGTTGTCCTGATATTGTAATATGCCGGAAATTTGGCAGTATTTAGGGAAATCGTTGCTAAAGATTTCGCCTTTTCGCAGTCGCAATCATTCGCCAGCAGCGGGGGTGTATCTATGTACTATATGCCAGAATAGCGTAACGTAACATTACGCCAGTTGGCTGGCTGCAGGCCCCAATGGAAAACAGCCCCACATCAATGGCAAACGCGTGCCTATAAATTTCCAGGACTTTTTTGTGTAGGTGTGCGTGTCGTGCGTGCTGATGTGTGTGTGTGTGGGTAGAGCCGCTCATTTGGTGTCGCTAACTTGAGATTTTTATTTACCAGCATACATACGAGGCGTTGCGTGCGCCTGGATTTCTTTATTCAATCGTTTTTGTTGCTCCCACAGCGCCCTCATCATCAGTGGCCATAAAATAAAAGTTACGCACACCCCAGGGGCAACATTACATGCCACACGCACACACACACAGACACACACACCCGCACTCCTGCTGTGCCTTGAATGGCATGCTTGACCGACTTCGTTGGGCTTCATATTCAATATGGCTAGACATATGAGCACTGACCACAAATAATTGCCATAGTGGCAAAATGGAAAATTGCGCAAATAGAAAAGAAGGGAAAAACTTTGCAAAATTTGCATGCTGCGCAATTTTCAATGAACAATGACGTCACAGACACACACACACACACAGACTCGCATGCCCGATAAGCAACATAGCAGTTGACACAGCATTGCGGAGGCTTATCAAATCGAGCTATAAACCCATACCCATACCCATACCCATACCCATTGCCATACCCAAACCGAAAACCCAACTCAACTCAAGTCGAGCAGAAGCAATGAAAATTCAGTCAGTGATTCAGTTGGGCTGGCTGGCTGAAAGTGCTAAGCTTATTGCGTCGTTTAGCCAACACCCGAAACGAATTGCCG